GCCGCTATCTCATTTGCTTCACTAACTCATGGCACTAATCGAATGTAAAATATACTACATGCACTTTACTGTTTTAATCTGCACAATACTGGTCTCAGATGTACTTTTATTTGCTCGGTAGATTGAGTTAGCAATGCTAGGTTGAATTGGGTAACACTGTTAGCAGGCCACAACATAGCTAGCTAATAACAGCTAGCTAGCTCACTAGCTATTCTTCCGCTATAAAAACGTTTTGACTTGTGAATAAGTGTGCCATGTTCTGTCATTTGCTTCACTAACTCATGGCACTAATCGTGTGTTTCAGGCAACGTGGTGTTTCCCCTGGAATTGGAAATCAGTGAGATTTCCCCTCCGGAAATCCACGGTAGTGCCTCCTCATCTCCCGTTCCAACAACCAAATGCAAAGGTACATATAAACTCATGTACAATCATGAAACACCGTGAACATACATCGTTTACACTTTTCGCGCCCTTTTCACTCTCTCACAAACGTAAACATCCGGGGCTAGAGGTCACATGACTTCCGGTAAGAAAGCTCTTAATCATTTTTGGACAAAATAAAATTCTAGCATACATCAAGCACAAAACAATAAATAAGGGCACTTTGAGCGTCAGCTATTTGATCCTATCTTATATTAGCTAGTAAACACATTCCTAGTAAGTTGTAAAACTACTTATTTCTCCTATTAGGAAAGAGGACACGGGATGACCGCTTCCTGGACACCATCACGGCGATGGATGACCGGCGTGCCTTGGCCAGCACGGAAAATGAGGACCGGCATGCCATGGCCAACAAGGAGATGCACGACGAACGGCTGCTGCATGAACACAAGGCCCAGGAATCGCAGGACCAGCTCTTAAAGGTGATGGCTGACTCGGCGGCGCGCTAGGTGGAGGTGGCGGCGCGCCAGGTGGAGGTGGCGGCGCTCCAGGTGGAGCAACAAAATAGCTTTCAGGCTGGGCTTCTGGGAGTGCTAAGCGAGCTGGTTAAATCCAACAGGCCTCCAATTAAAAAGAAAAAAAAAACTTGTCGTCGTTAGTCAACTATAGAATGACTTGTTGGGAGGCGTGTGGCGCAGTGGCTGAGTGCATTGGTGTTCGGATCAGGGGAGCACAGGTTCAAACCCCACTGCAGTCAGCATGTCGTTGTGTCCCTGGGCAAGACACTTCACCCCAAATTGCCTACATCTGGGACAGTCAATTTTGTATTATTGTAATATATATATATATATATATATATATATATATGCCACTGTTATTAATAGTGACACCTAACTTTGCACTAAGGTGTGTCTGATGCTGAGTCTATCCCCACATCTGGGACAGTCAATTTTGTATTAAAGTACATATATATATGCCACTGTTATTAATAGTGACACCTAACTTTGCACTAAGGTGTGTCTGATGCTGAGCCTATTATTGTTATTTTATATATATATTGCCACTGTTATTATATTGTTTTGATACTACTGACACTTATTGATCTGCTGCTGATAAATAAAAGAGAACCTACATGGCGATGTCTTGCGTGTGTTGCTTATTTCTCCTGACACTTTATCTTTATGGTGACCTGTGTAGCATCCTATACATCACATGTAAGTGATTATTCTGATACCATCATGACACCATGAAACTGGCGAAGCTTTATTTATAGTGTCCCACCCCATACATGTGGCTTTGAAAAAGATCATTCCATTGTATTTCAAAATGGCGTCCATCAACACAAACACTATTTAAATAAATGGTTAACTTTGTAATTAACAGTGTTGTGAGTTCAATATTTTAATTAATTATAGTAAGGGAACATAGGAGTTCGTGAACTGAGTTCCTCTCAGGAGGATATATAATAGAGGTGTTAACTGGTGAGCCTATTTACTGTGCAATACTACAGACATGTTAGTGGTATTATTTCTTATCTAACTCTTTCCTATGGTCAGACAAATCAGAAGTAATTTAAACTTAATTTGAGATTTTTTTTTTTTTGTTTCTCAATTGATTTTCCAGAATATGCACCACCTAGGCATAGACTTTATATCACAAATGAATGACATGTACTACAGTAATTGATTATATTGATATTGCCTACTCAGATATAGATGTGTATAAAATGAAATCAATTCAAAGTTTCTTGCTGCTTTTAATGCAATTCATGGCTGCAGGGCACACGTCCAAAATCCTTATTCTACAATCATTTAATCAAGACACTTGTGTATATTTTACTTTAATTTGTAATAAACAAATAAATATGAATGGTTGTCATCATTGCTCAGTATTACTTAGCTATTTTAAAGTACTTAAAAACTATTATAAATATTGAAAAGTCATGACTGAAGTGCATTGTTCTGCTGACAGTATTTCTACTCAGTATTTCACCTGTATGGTGCGGTCCTGGGCGACAACACACAGTGAAGATGATCTGCTGCACGTACGTAGTTCTTCAGGTGTGTATGCTTAACATGTATGTATTTATCACAGTAAAGATGGTATCCAAAAGCTTTTTTAAGAGCCTTCAACCTCATCCCATTGTCTTTAACACACATTCAACATAATAATATACTCATTAATATACAATATGAGTACTGTTTTGATACTGACATTTTATCTAAGGTGTGTATGCACTATTGTAATTTTGTCTGTTGACTGGGGTAAATAAAAGAGAGAACCAAAAGTACAAAAGATCAGCTTTATTGTCAATTTACATGTTCAGATGCGTCATAAGAGCTGTGCGCGTGTCTTGCCCCCCAGCCTCAACAATGTCTGGCGCTGGCCCATCAAGCTGGGTCGCCGGTAAGGCAGTCCATTCCTCCCTGTACTCATCACCACGACGCTCACATAGGTTATGCAATACGCAACATGCTGCCACCTGGATTTTGATGTTGTCCATGTTGCAGTCGTTTCGCTTCATCAAGCACCGCCATCTGCCCTTCAGTCTGCCAAAAGCGTTCTCCACCACCACTCGTGCTCGGCTTGTTTTGCGGTTGTACACATGTTGCTGGGGTGTGAGCCTTCCTTGGAAAGGTTTCATCAGCCATCTTTGCAGGGGGTAGGCTGAGTCACCAAGGATATAGTAACCCACATCATGTCCACCAATATTCTTTGTTACATGAGGAAGTAGACCACCTCTATCCACACAACTAACCAGTGATGACAAGCTGAACACTCTGCTATCATGCATGCTCCCTGGTAAGCCAACAAAAACACTCCAAAAGAGGCCCTTACCATCCACAACACCCTGCAGGATGACCGAGTGCCAGCCTTTGCGGTTGAAATACTCGTTGTGGTATTCCTCTGGTCTCAGAATAGGGATGTGTGATCCATCTACTGCACCTACACACTGTAGCACACCCCATCTGCCCTCAAAATATAACGCCATCTCCTCTAACTTCTCAGAGTTCGGCCATGGCATGAACTCAGGAAGGAGTAGCGTCACAACAGCGGAACAGAACTCCTGCACACAGCAACACACCGTAGATCTGCCGACTCCAAACAAATGAGAGATGGTCCTGTACTCAGAGTTGGTCGCAAGTTTCCACAGTGCTATGGCGATTTTTTTAGGCACGGGTACACACTCCCGGTAGTTGGTGTTGCGTCTCCCCAACGTTGCTTCCAGGCGCATACAGAGCAGTTGAAAAGAGCACTTGGACATTCGGAAATCTTTGATCCACTGCACATTGGTGTACGTTGGCACCACCATTTCCCACCAGGCCGACGTTCTATTGTTCACCCAGAGAAAGCGCAGGACACGACGCGTTCCATAGTATTCGCATATCTGGAACACATACAAAGACACAAATTAGCCCTACATAACTCCATAAATCCTACATTAGATAGTATTAATGTGATTTACTGAACGTACCATTGCTGTTCTTTGGGCGTGATAACGGTCATCCTCCTCAGCCGTCCTACGACGCAACATGTCCAGAGCGTGTGCTTGTCGCCGTCCTATCCTTTTGTTAAGGCTTCTTAACCGCCTTCGCCTCCGAATCAGCATTGCTATTGCATTTGAATGGTCGATCTGTATTTGTGGCTGAGTTATTGGCTTAAATAACTCAGTTACGAAGCTGTGTAACACGAGCACCAAAACCACAACTTCAGTCAACTCCATAGCGTGTCTGACTGAGGTCGGAAGGTAAACAGAAGCATACAGCGGAAGCGGAAGTTTTTTTTCTTCTTCTCTCGGTTTTTTGGCGGATTGCAACTTTAAGGTGCATACCGCCACCTACTGTACTCGCCGTGAAGTTGTTTGCAGCCTGCCAGGAAAACCAAAGCCGAAGAAGAAGAAGTGACGTCAGCGGCTCATTTGCCTAATCCACCCCCAGGAACTCATTTTGGTGTGAACGCGATCTGCTTTAGTTCGTCAGAACTAAAAGAACTCTCATGAACTAAAGTTTTCAGGAACTACTGTGGGAAAAGTACTTGGTGTGAACGCGCCTATTGTCTCCCAACACCTGCATTCTTTAAGTACAACGATTTTACAGCATTCTACATTGTCAATTATTTAGATTGTGTTTAAGTAGTAATATAATATTTCGGAGTAGGGATTGCAGCACAGTGTCAGCTAATCATATGACGACTCAAACCCTACACAGAATGAGCGCAAAGGTAAGCTAAATGTTTTTGCATAACTCCAATCAGGTTTCTCCCGAGGTAAAAATGTACTAGATGCAATAATGCTAATGCAAGGATGCTTCTGACCTGTTAAAGGTCACACTAACATTTCCATGATACATTTACATAAGTCAAGGTGCTCTGTACAAAGCTCAGCTAAACCAGTTGAGATGCATTTATAAATGATTAAATGAAAATGTTACTTAGGTTTTCCTTTTGACGATCACAAAAGTCATATTCCTTTTATATGTAAAGTGCGATAAATGTCTCATTAACACAGGTTCCAGTGTAAATAATGATTAGATACTTGATAAAATACTTAACAGTTAATCACTTCATTAGTATCTTTTTATAATTCTTTGTTAGTTTAAAAGTTTAGTCAAATCATAGAAGAAGTTCCCTTATGAGTCATTTATTTCCCAGGTTTTTTCAACAGTTATTTCCATTTTCACTCATGGGTCTACAGGTTTTATTTTGATGTGGAGGCCATTAAGTGAACCAAGCACCAGTCGAGGAATTATCTGTGGTGTTTGCGTCGGGTCCTCGATCAGATGGTATCTCTGCAGTGTCAGCGCTGTTGACACTTTCAGCTCGTTCATAGCAAAGTTCTGACCAATGCAGTTTCTGAGTGAGGAAAACAGCACCAATGAGTGGAATATGGTGACAAATTAAGCTTTAAAGTAACATCATATAGGAAGACAGCACTTAAGGTTATGGAAATCAGATGAACAGTCAATACCAAATGATATATATATTTTTGATTGACATAATATTGGAATAGGTTGGACAAGAAGGCAACAGCAACAGCCTTTCAGTAAGCCTTTCGTGTTTGCCAAATATGTTTTTACTGCAGGGCTATTGTATTGTAATGTGTTGTAAACTTAGCTGTAGCCCTATTTTTAGTAAGCTAGTCACACGGTATCATATGAGGACAAACCTTGGCCCAGCAGAGAAGGGTACGAATGCGTGAGGAGGCCTCTTGGAAACATTCTCCGGGAGAAAACGCAGTGGGTCAAAGACCTGTGTTGACACAAGATGGAAAAACAAACACCAGTGTGGCATTAATCAAACTTTTTCTTAATTTCTCCCATGAACATGTAATGAGTTCATGCTCACGCACACCCCTAATACAGTGAGGGAATAAACCATGCTAGGTCCTAGGAGTCACTCTGTGATATGCTGACATCTCGGACCAGTGGGGGCACTAGGGTTTGCATTAATTGTGCACTAATTGAATGACTTTGATACTTGTGTGGTGGCCCTGAAGTTGGTCTATTCTCAAAAGAAGAAGTATTTAAGATTGTCGCGGACTGACAGACAAAGAATCATCGTCCAACGTCATGTTTTCTGAAATGATATTGTGTTATGATCCTTAGGGCCATCATACCACGACAGTATATGATTTTTAAAAAATGTATGTAGAAGTATCATAGGTTTACTTCTATGGGCACATGTGAGCTTACACATTTAAAAATACTTCCACAGAATGATCTTCTTTACTTACTTCAGGGTTTTCCCAGACAGTTGCATTCCTGTGAAGCGAATACACACTTGTTCCAATATGACTCCCTACAAATAAGAGCAAAACAAAAATGTATTTGTAATAAGATTGTGCAGGGAAAAACAATTAATATATTATGTTTGAGACAATTTTGCAAACCTGCTGCTATAATTCAAATCATGAAGGTTAACAGGTTAATTTGTGCAAGCTTGACTCAATAAAAATAAATGTTTTCAAAGTTAATCTTCATACGATACGATATACTTTGTTGTCCCCGTAAGGACATTTTGTTCTGGACTCCGTCCTGCAGTTCCGCATACCTTTACCTTATCTTTTACCACAGGGTATAAACGTTTGATGCATGCAACTGTATGCTGTTTTATTCACATTCATCTGCAAAGAACCATTAAAGACAAACCTGCAGGCAAAGTCCTTCCATCAAAAAGGTAATGGTCTTGGTGGTGATTCTGGACATTCTTGGTACCGGAGGGTAAAGGCGGAGGGACTCTTTTATGAACATTGTAGTGTATGGAATTTTACTGAGATCCTCCCTAAAAAGTAAACAGACAAGTGTTAGTTCAACAATTGGCAGCACTGACATACATTTGCATTGTTTTCAAATGTAAGCCCACCACTCCATGGTGTCCTTGCCATCCAGGGCTTGAAGGACCTCATCCCGGCACATCTTCTGGTACTCTGGGTGGCAGGCCAGAGAGTAGAGGATGAAGGACATGGCACTGGCTGTAGTGTCATGGCCTTCAAACATGAAGGTGTCCACCTCTGCTTGTATATCTTCATCTGACAGACCCTGTTTGTTCTCATCCTTAAATAAAAGGCAAACTTAAAACATTAGTAATGAACATATTATGTCTTAATGTGACACTACTACTCCAATTAAAAACCGTACAAGTTGCAGGCCTATTGGAATTGGCACAGAAACAGCTAATGTCTGTCGGATCCTTTTACAGGTCAACTGTGTTTGGAAAGAAAGGACATTTTAGTTACCGAGTTACAGAGGTGTCCTTGAGTAGCTTATTGTGTCATATTGATTATATGTGCACAACAGAAATTTATAACTTTTAAGTTGCTGCTCAAGAGTCCCTCATAAGAGTAAAATAACCAGACTGTTGCCTTTGTACCAGTGGCCATTGACCAGTGGCCTCATGCTCAGCATATCAATGCTCATTCGAAAAACCTTCTGCGTTTCCTTTTGCCCTAGTTTTTTGCCCCTTGCAGGTTAAGCACATACAGTATAATATTTGCGTCATCTCAGGTTATAAACATGACACAACTACGCTTTTTTAATGTGCGGCAACTTTAAGACTGTTCATGCTTTAAATATCTCATTACTAAAATTCTCACGATTATAATTCATTATCTCTATAGAGAGCTTGCTGCTTTGACAATTGCAGTTTTTACGTATGTTGTTTTTTTTCATTGATCAGAAGTGTCTCATTTTGTGAATTCAATACATGGCACATAACATACTCTCGCTAAGAGAAGGATGTCCAGAAAGTCCACGTTTCTCTTTCCCTGTACGCGATCCAGCTCGTTCTCCTCCTTGAGTGCTTCTTTCCTCTTTCGTATGACTTCCCCTTCAAAATAAGAGAATAATTAATGAGCATATCCCCAGTAACTCTTAAAATGCAGCAACCATAAACCTACAGTTTAGAGCCTATACAATTTCGATGTATGGGCAAGCTAAATTCAGTTTTAGATTGTCATGAAGGTAATATCTGTGAACATCTTACCTGTGTGACTGTGAGCCACCTTGCATGCTTTTCTTAGTCTGAAGCCATGTGGGCTGAGGTAGAAAATGAGGTCATTGTGGTATGGAAACATCCTGAACCGCAGGTTAATCAAATTACTGAGCTCATACACTGCCTTGATGTATTCATTTGTTCCGCTGAAATAAGAACGTAGACAAACAGTTCAGACAACTGAGAACATAAACCTGTAATTGTGAATGGCGGGAAAACGTTTGTATGGACTCGCCTCTCGGTCTGACAGTTGCTGTTGTAGCTGAACGCACACTTCATGATGCTGTCCAGTGTCATAAGGCTCACGTGGTTAAACAATTCAAAGGACTCATTGGTTTTTGCATAACTCTCCCATTTGTCCTGGCAACAGTGAAAGAACAGATGTGAGGTCTCAGCAGGACGTGGAAAAAACTTCAACACACTTAGCTGGAACAACTTTGACATAAAATAAGCCTAAGCCTATATTTCCTCCACATCACTTCACCATTGACTACTTATTATAGCACTTTACACAAAGCATTTTCCTTGTACAAATTATGTGAAATGCAACTTGGCAAAAAAACAGACACTGATTTTATAAACAAAAAAACTGTCATTAACGTACCAGCATGGTTTTAACAGAGTCTGACATCAGATTTACGTAGGGTTTCAAAACTTCAAAATGGAAACCTGGGGTCAAGAGCCTTCTGTTGCGAAACCACTTCTGACCATCAGACACCAATAAGCCATCACCTGAAGACAGACAGAGGCAGTATGGATCAGCGAGGGAAGCAGCTTAACAGAAAATACTGTGCAGTAAACCAAAATATGCTGTAGGAGAAAGTAAAAGCAATCTTACCAATCCAAGGCTTAATAAAAGTATATGCCACATTATCTTTTGGCTCTGTTACGAAACAAACAATTACAGATTATGTTACATTGACCTTTGTTTATTTAAATGCAGATAATAAACCAATATGAGTCTGCATGTATACGACGTAGTAAAAAGCATTGTCAAAAGATGAATTTGACTTAACTGCTACATTGTAAAGGTTTATGACTTCAGTAAAGATATAAAACAATGGCTCACACACCTGTAGATGTCAATATAGTTTTCACATAGTCTGGATGGTGAATGCTGAGGAAACAAACAAAGGGTCCAAACCACATCGGGAAAGCATAAGGGTACTGCTGTCCCCATTTCACAATCTTTTTCAAGTCCGACCCATCCTGTTTAAACTGAAAGTAAAAACATAAAAACATAGATTAAGCTTAACCAATATGCTGGAGCCTGAAGAGGACAAAGTTATCCCCTGAGTTGTGATGCTCTATAAACTAATACTCAACTGCTAAGTTTAAGCCTTAATTGCATCCAAATTGTTACTTAAATAAATGTAAAGAAGTTCAAATCAGGGACAACCCAAATTAAATAACACCAATAATAATAATAATAATAATAATAATAATAATAATAATAATAATAATAACATAAGAATACGCTTTGAATTTCCTTTTTTCGCAGTGTTTTCTCAGGCTTTTCTTATTGCAAATCTGAGTCTGTTGGCACATGATGAGACTGGGGATGACCTTTGACAGTTGCAACACTGGGGAAGCTGCAAAAAGGGACGGTTCATCAATCAATCAATCAATCAATCAATCAATGTTTATTTATATAGCCCAATATCACAAATGTTACATTTGTCTCAGTGGACTTGCAGTGGTTGCATTCATTCTTATTCCTCTGATCAGAAACATGCTAGAGTGAGGACAGGAAGACACATTCTACATCTGCTGCTGAAATGACTATTCTCCCATGCAAATAAACAAATGAAATGTTACATTTAATCATCTTTAAATGACAGGGTAGTAAAACGAACATCATTTATATGTGTTTCTTGGAAGTTTTATTTCCATTAGAGTGAAAGAAAACATGGAAGCAAAATAAACCAAAATAACAAGTACATGAAAAAACGATCTTTTTGCCTGTAATGTCCTTAAACAGTAACTTCATAATGTTGATTGTTGGCTGCTCATTTAATAACTATTAATTCTTCTGCGTCACTGAGCAGTCATTATACACGTTACCTCCTTTAGATGTCCAAAAAGCCAGTGCGACGGTGGTCCTGGAAACAATTCCATACTTTGCATCGCAGCTCTTCTTTGGGCGAGCAAGACTGTCAACTTATAAACAACGGCAACAACACAGAGCACCGCGATCAAGTGGTGCATGTGGGGTAAGCCCAGGTGATACTTCACGAAACCCTCAGTTGACTCCATGCTTGCGACTTCCTTGATGATGAGCAGTGATTCACACAACACAGTTTTGTGTGTGTGAGTGTGTGTGATGTAACCACCGGAATGTGGGTGGAGAATGTGGCCCGCCCCGAACACCACTACAGCTCCGTCTGTTGTCATTAGTGATGGGAATTATGGCTCTTTGAAGGGAGCCGGAACTTATGGCTCCGTTCCTTTCAAAGAGCCGTTCAAAAGAGCAGTTCAAAAGAGCCGTTTTTTTTTAAAGGGGGCGGGGTTACTAGGTTTATCTGCGAAATAATCACCAGGATAATGATTGACTTTATTGCCAGACCTAATGTCAATAATCTGCATTGTAAACATGACACAAGCTGTGGCGACTGGTCATTAGGGGCAGGTGGGGCACAGCCCCACCGAGTGTCAGCAGAAAGTATTACACATAATGATTACAAAAAATGCAAAGAGATGCAAAAAAAGAAATTAAAAAATATATAAAATATATTTTAAGGTCATGTTTAATCATCTGATTCGTCTGTACATTGCTGTTTTAGTCTGTGTTCTTCTAATTAGTGTCTACAGTGCCGTTTTGAGCCATGTGGGACAAAACCTGATCATGCCCCACCCTTTCACTGTCAAAGTGAACGGTGACTGTAAAAACTACACTGCGCATGCTCAGAGTATTTTTCAATGTAATGTGTGTGGCAAAAAAAAAAGACCATAGGGGCACAGAGCTGCCATCCCCACCATACGTCATCTCACATCATTCAGAGCTGATTGGCTGTAAGTACGTGTGCCGCGAAAAGTGTGATGTGTGTGAAGAGGAGACGAGAGAGCTGCAGTGACGCGTCCTAAAACCAGGAAGTAAGCTGCAAAAAAGCAATGAGGTTTCTCCATAGGATTTTAGAAAATAGCTGTAAATAAGATCTGTGGGAAACGTACCTGTTGGATAAATGCACGTTTTGTTCAGCCGGATAATATCCACATGTCTACCCTACTTTTATAATTTTCGAATCATAAATCTATCAATTAGATTTATGATAGACTTTTGAAACTACAAGAAGATAAGGAGGACTTTTACAAAAAAGTTATAGAATTTTTTGTCCAGAAGGATAGGAAAATGGACTTCATCTTCAAGTCAAGGTAAGACCGCAATTTTTTGAAAATGGGATCTTACTAAGAGAGAACAATTCAATATTTAAATGATAAAATTACATTTTTTGGGTATCCTTTTGTTGAACTGTCTGTTTAAAATTAATCGAAGCATCAGACAAAAAAAGCTTTTGAAAATAATATTATATTTTGGTTTAGGTCAAAATATAACATTTGTAAACCTGAAGAGTCAGTGCCAGTGCCTCACCAGCCATGAACCTCACTGCACGTCACTGCAGAAGCTTATATATAGACATCTAAGTTTTTTGTGCCCCACCACTTTTGTACATATAAAAACGCCACTGGACACAAGGTGGCGCCATATCCATGTCATTCATGTCAGTGAATGTACTACTTTGAATTTACCCTCTGTATGTGTTAAAGGGGACCTCCCTGCTGAAAAAAACAGCATAGAGGCTTTGCATATGACGTCACGGGTAACGTGACGTCAGCCCAACGGCCATACTGGAGTACCAAAACAGACACCGTAATACGTCAGCGCTGTTTTTTTACCGGACATATAATTGTTAACTTCTGTGCCATTGTTGGCTGCGGCAACAGAGGTGATCGAAACAGGGGGCCGAAGTCATTTTACAGGCTGCCGGCGGTTATAACACACCAGGGTGAAGCAACACATGAACTTTCAAAGCGTCGCCGGGAAAAATGGCTCAATAGGATCGGACGGGAGGATCTCAAACCATCCAACCACAACTATACTCGCGTTTGTGGGGATCATTTCACGTCAGGTAAGTGTCGGGTTTTACATACAAACATTCAAAATGAACATATAACCCACGTACTAAGACATGTATCTTAACAAGGAAATAAGAATCCTGGAGTCTGTCATCGATCGACATATCAGATTGTGGAGTATCTACAAAGTAGTCATCCCTTGGCTCAGGTCATCTTCACACCAGTCTGTCAGTCCCCTGCAGTGCTTCGTTTAACTGTAATTTAAAGTAATTCCTCCCCCTACTGGCCATTTGATTATATGTAAACAGTAAAGGCTGTACAGTCCATGGCACCTTTTCAGAGGCTTTTGGTTTCCTCAATTATTTGTCATGTTCCTATGTCTTGACACCAGCATTTTAAATATATCTAAAGTCTGACTTCGCTTGTCAAAAGAGGTCAAATTTGTATTAACAGTTCACCCAGGATATAACTGACCTACAATCTGATTTATTTGCAGGTAAATCAGTGGCACTTTTTGACAAAAATCATCCTGACTGGGCACCGTCTGTCAAATTGGGCCACGAGAAAATTACAGCACCTTCCCCTGCTACACATGCCAGGTATAAACGCGCCAGAAAAAGGTCATCCATCGCACTACTTGATCTCTACAGCATGGTATCTGATATACCATCTCCAGAAGAGCCCGCACCAGTCCTGGGAGCCACTGGGGAAGAAGAAGGACTGATTGAACCAGAGACTGGCACTGCAACTCAGACTGATTTGACTGGTGAAATGATTGACAAAATGTCATTTGAAATTAATAATGTAACAACAGAAAATGTTAACTTTCAGAGAGTACATTTAAGGGCGATGATGACCATGTGCGGTTCTACACGGGACTTCCTACTTTTGCTATTCTAATGATGGTATACAATCTTGTGGAACTGCACATCAGTGTGAACGCTAAGCGTCCACAGTCTAAATTTCAACAGTTTATACTGACACTAATGAAATTAAGATTAAACCAACCCCTGCAAGAGCTGGCTTATAAATTCAACACATCCACGTCTACAGTATCCTGAATAATTTGTGTGACACTGTAATACCCGTTGATTGAGCCTTTACATTCTGTTACACCCCAATCAACCCATATCAGATTAAAAAATATTACATGTTTGTATTGTAATTACAAATGTAGTATTACATTATTGTCAATGTTGTACTTGGTCAATTAAATGTCTTGATAATCAGAGCAGTGATTTGGGGTTTGGTTGTGTTGGGGAATGTTTGAAAAATTATTTAAGCTGTTTTCAGGCATGGAAGATTAATGTTTTTCTCTCAAGTTTTCTATTGTCAGATTGGACACATCCCAAATTGCTTGAATGTGGTTTCAGACCTGCACTGCACACTGTAATAGTACTGGTAGAATATTTAAGCTTGGGTAAATACATTTTGAAAAAAACAATTGAAAGGGCAAAGTATTATATTTATTACAGGTTTCCAATTTACACATTGAAAAAGGGTGAAAAACAAGTACATGCTCCTTTAACTGTAAGGCAAGGCAAGGCAAGTTTATTTATATAGCACCTTTCAACACAAGGTAATTCAAAGTGCTTTACAAAAATGGAAGACATTTTAAAAATGGCATTTAAAATCAGTCATTAAAAAGAAAAGATAATAAAATAAACATTAAAAGAAAAAATACATGGATAAAAGTTAAAAGTTACAGTGCAGTTTAAGATGTGAATAGTTCAATTAAAAGCAGCGGCAAAAAGAAAAGTCTTCAGCCTGGATTTAAAAGTAGTAAGAGTTGCAGCGGACCTGCAGGTTTCTGGGAGTTTGTTCCAGATATTTGGAGCATAATAACTGAATGCTGCTTTACCATGTTTAGTTCTGACTCTGGGGACAGAAAGCTGACCAGTCCCTGAAGACCTGAGAGTTCTGGATGGTTCATAATTTAGCAGTAGGTCAGACATGTATTTTGGGCCTAAACCATTCAAAGCTTTATAAACCAGCAACAATATTTTGAAATCTATTCTTTGACACACAGGAAGCCAGTGTAAGGACTTCAGAACAGGAGTGATGTGATCCACTTTCTTAGTGTTAGTGAGGACTCGAGCAGCAGCGTTCTGAATCAGCTGCAGCTTTCTAATAGATTTTTTAGTGAGGCCTGTAAAGACACCATTGCAGTAGTCGAGTCTACTGAAGATAAAAGCATGGACAAGTTTTTCCAAATCCTGCTGTGACATTAGTCCTTTAATCCTAGATATGTTCTTTAGGTGATAGTAGGCTGATTTAGTAACTGTTTTAATGTGACTGTTGAAACTCAGGTCAGAGTCCATGACTACACCTAGATTTCTGGCTGTATCTGTTGTTTTGAACATTGCAGACTGAAGCTCAGCGCTAACTTTTATACGTTCTGCCTTGGCTCCAAAAACCATTACCTCAGTTTTATCTTTGTTTAATTGGAGAAAGTTCTGACACATCCAGTCATTGATTTGTTCAATGCACTTACTCAGTGTTTGAATTGGAGCATAATCTCCTGGTGAAATTGTTACGTAAATTTGTGTGTCATCCGCATAGCTATGGTAACTTATTTTGTTGTTTTTCATTATCTGAGCCAGTGGTAGCATGTAGATGTTAAAGAGAAGAGGCCCCAAGATGGAGCCTTGAGGTACCCCACATGTCATATTTGTCAACTCAGATGTGTATTTACCTATAGAAACAAAGTTTTTTCTGTCCTTTAAGTAGGACTCAAACCAATTTAGAACTGTTGCCGAAAGTCCCACCCAGTTTTCTAGTCGGTCTAGTAATATGTTGTGGTCAACAGTGTCAAACGCAGCACTGAGATCTAATAATACTAACACTGAAGTTCTGCCACTGTCTGTGTTTAAGTGGATGTCATTGAAGACCTTTACAAGAGCAGTCTCAGTGCTGTGGTTTGGACGAAATCCTGACTGGAACACATCCAAACAGTTATTTAAATGCAAGAAGTTACTCAACTGTTGAAATACAACTTTTTCAATGATTTTACCTAGAAATGGCAGGTTTGATATTGGCCTGTAATTGTTCATTACTGAGGCATCTAGATTATTCTTTTTTAAGAGCGGTTTAATGACTGCAGTTTTCAGGGCCTCTGGAAAAATACCTGAGTGAAGAGATGTGTTTACTATATGAAGTAGATCTGAGGCCATGCAAGGAAAAACATCTTTGAAAAATCCTGTTGGAATAATATCAAGGCAGCAGGAGGAGGATTTCAGAAGTTGAATAATGTCCTCTAAGTTTTTACCATTAATCTGATGGAATTGTGTCAT